CTAGGCAACAGGGCAAAATATGTGAAGAATTTTTGAACAAAATACGACCCCTCCCTACGAGCTTCATGCTCTGGTGCGAATCCCTCTCCAGCGCTCAAATACGACCCGTTGTGTTTTACACAAAGATGGTAAGCGGTGGTGGGCAACACTTTTACTCCGCTCGTCTCCGCCCTCTAAAATATACAGTGTTCGGTGAAACTGGTTGACACCGATGAGGGCCAAGGCGAAGAGAAAAGGGCCTGAGTTGACGTAGCTGCGTCCAGTGCCCTTAAACATCCTCAGCGTCTAAAAATGCCCTCAAACTGCCGATGGAACGGTTGCGATGTAGCGCTATCCATCCGATCAGGAGAAAACGAAAGATTCACGACTGAGAGTGGCCATGGTGCCAAGATGATTTGAAACGACCTCTCTGGAATAAGTTCAGACCACGCCCCTTATAAAGTGACCTGTCATAAAGGACATCTTTATATGAATAGATTCAATTTTAAATTCCTGATCTCACGAGGGAGCTAGCAAACATACTTCTGTAGGTACATCAAGTATCTGCAAGAGGTAGAATGGTATTTGTGATGGTTCAGGAATTTCACTGAGGCCGTCGACAAGCTCTTCAATCAGATCTGTCCAAGATCTACAACGAAGCTTTTATTAACATCTGAACGTATTTAGCGCATAGAAACGACTCACTTTGGGAGATCGTAGCAGTTTTCTAGAAACCGCTGGTTGTTCTCCTTGAAATTCTCCAGGGGACAGAATCGCAAGTAATGACGGCGAAATCGGAAAAGAGTCTGTACAAACGAAAGGAACATCTTCTCAGCTTCAGTGGTGAACTTCATTTTCTGCAAACCAGCAAATTGAAAATAAAAGAGTATAAAACTTCGGCCACTCATCATTTTTTTCAGGATGCACGCGTTCAATCTCTCAAAATCGTAGCGGTTTACTGAATGAGTATAGCACAAACAGTGCCTATGGGAGGACGGGTTGGCAGTCAATGTACCAATCAGTGTTTTCATTCTCCCAGACGAATTCGTTACCAATTTACTATCACTAGAAGTTAGAAGGCTTGGTGTAAGGGAAGGAGCCGAT